CTTCTTCTTCTTCTTCTTCTTCTTCTTCTTCTTCTTCTTCTTCTTCTCCCCTCTGTTTTTGCCTCTCTCCTCCCCTCTTTCTCTCAGTGTTTCTGTCTTGCTGTCTCTGTCCATGTCTTTTCCTCTCCGGCATTTGGTGCCAGATGAAGGATCCTGGCCACCATCATCCTGTGGGATGATGGGAGGCTTGGGAACAATAGTGTCCACCCTTTCAGCCCATTGGGACAAATTTTACAGAATAGCTGAGGCTGGAGACACTGTCCTAATGGCAAGATGGGAGCAAGAAGTGGCATGAGGGTGGTTCCTTAAGGTTGGCAAAGGGGACAGAGAGTACTGGGTAAGCTGAGGTAAGAAAAGAGGGCATGCCAAGGGTGGCCTGAGAGAGGCTGAAGGGCAGACAAAGGGGATGTTTTGCTAGGTGGATCGGGGGTGAGGAGACAAGTAACTGGGGCCTGCCTGTCTGGGGGCCAGGTGGATAGCCCACAGAGCCTGGAGTCAGGAAGCTCCGAGTTCAAGTCCAGCCTCAGATACTTACTAGACCTTGGACAAGTCATGTAACTTTTGTTTGCCTCAGTTTCCTCATCTGTATGACAATGACAATCATAGCATCTCTCACCAGATTGTTGTGATAACAAAGGAGAGAATATTTGTAAAGCACTTTGCAAACCTAAAAACTATACAAATTCTCACGGTTACTATTTTAGTAGCAGTTCCGGTCCTTGCTAGCTTTGTGACCTTGGGCACAAAGCCTCAGTTTCCTCATTTGTAAAAAACGATGAGAGTGACGACACTTCCTTCCAAGGGCTGTGTAAGTACAGCTAGGGAATCAGGTCCCTTGGGGGACCAGGGCGGGAGTTGGGCAGGGGTCAGACAGAGCTGGGGACTGAGCTCCCAGATGAGGGGTGGCTGAGTTGGGCAGGTGGAGTGGAGAAGAAGAGGAGCTGGTCAGAATTAGGAGGGGAGGAGGAAGGGAAAAGTGCACCTCTGCAGTCTTCCTAGGCCCCAGAATCCTCGAGGGCAGGCCGCACGGCCCACTCACTCACGCTGACTTCTCTCCTGCCTCCCGTGTTCCCGGAGAATCGTCTGGATTCCTCCTGGGCCTCGGGCTCCCTTTGCTGGTATTTACCTTCCGGGTATGTGCCCTGTGTCCCCCCCTAGACTGGAAGCTGCTTGGGGGCAGGCTTTGGTTCTGGTTCTATTGAATTCTTAACACAAAAGCTTGTATACAGTAGGTACTTCATGTTTGTGGAGTTGAATTTGCTAAATAAAAGATGAGAATAAGAGTTTATTATATACCTACTATGTACCAGGTACTCTACTAGTTGCTTTACAAATATTATCTCATTTGATCCTCACAACAACCCGGCAGGGTAGGTGAGTAGGTGTTATCATCCGCATTTTACAGATGAGGAAACTGAGGCAAACAGAGGTGAAGCGACTTGCCCAGGGACACACAGCTAGTAAGTGTCTAAAGCTGGATTTGAACTCAGGTCTTCCTGATTCCAGGCCTGGGGCTCTATCCACTGCACAATCATTGCTTAAGAAGTTAGGAAAGATAGGGGCAGCTAGGTAGCGCAATGGATAGAGCACTGGCCCTGAAGTCAGGAAGACCTGAGTTCAAATCTGGCCTCAGACTAAACACTTGAAGTGTACTAGCTGTGTGACCTTGAGCAAGTCACTTAACCCCGATTGCCTCACCCCCCCCCCAAAAAAAAAGTTAGGAAAGATGAAGACAGAGCCCTTGCTGTCCCAGAGTTTATTTAGGGCTAAAATTATATGCAAAATCCCAGAAGTGAAGGGACTTCAGAATGATAGGATCCCAGGTTTGGAACTGGGAGGGATCGTCAGAGGCCTTCAAGGGTGTCAGAGATGGGATTTGAACCCAGGGTCTCTGCCTTCAGACACAGGGCTCTGCCTGCTGTGCTGGGTCACACCTCCTGCTGTCATTCTCAATAAGTGGTCCTCCAGCCCTTGCCTGGACCCTCATTGGGGAGGAGCCCACCCCCTCCTAAGCCATCCAAAAGCACTATGAGACAGCTCTGATGGCGAGGGGGCTTTCTCCCACATGCAGCCTAGACTGGGCTCTTTTCTACTCCCTTCCCCCCTTCCCACTTTGCTGTTCCTGGTTCTTTTCCCAGGACCATGGAGAACAAGGCTCATCTCTCAGCCACAGGACTTGAACACACTTCCCACGCCCTCCTGAGTCTGCTCTCCTCCAGCCTAAACATTCCCAGAGCCTTCAGCCCTTCCTCACAGGACCTGGACTCAGGCCCTTCCCCCATCTTGTTGGCCCTCCTCTGGACCCTCTTCATCTTGCCAACATCCTTCCTGAATTTTAGAACCCATCATTGGACACAGTCCTCCGGTTATGCTCTTTCCAGGACAGAGACTGGGGGACTTGCCTCTCACACTAGATTGGGGGTTACCAGAGCCGGTCTGGGGTTACTTCTGATGTTCTGATGATTAGCAACTTGCAGAGGATCAGACACAAAAGGGGACGCTTGCTGAGGTCAGCCTGGGAGTCTGCTGATTCTTGGTGACCTCTGGCCTTTTCACAAACAGGTTTTGAAGTAGAAAGTGGGTATGGTGCGGTTCTCCTCCCAGGTGTTGGGGAATTGAGCCAGCAAGGCTTACAGCTCTCAGCTGGATGGAAGATTCTGAGTGAGACAGAGAGCTGGCTAGACAGAAGTTGGAGAGAGATTGGTAGGCAGATGTTAAAGAGATTGGAGACAGGTGGGTAGACAGGGAGAAAGATAATGAAGAGCTAGGTATACAGAGAAAGGCAGATGACATCTGTCTCTATCTAGAGAGAAGGATAGATTAGATAGATGAAAGACAATAGAGAGATGGGTAGGCAGATGATAAAGGGATATATCAAGAGTTGGGTGATGGATGGTATGTAGGGAGAGAGATAGCAGAGCACAGAGAGGTGACCACCAGGCGGAGGAGATGGGCCACAGGGCAGGGGCGTCTTCCAGGGCAGAGAGGCCAGGACTGAGGGCCTGAGGCATTGTGGAGCTGGGAGGGCCCGGCTGGAGCCAGAGCTATCCACCACTCTGAGCTGGTGGCTCCAGGGTCCTGCCCTTTCCCCAATGCCCTCCTTGCTGACTAAGGTCTGAGAAAGCAGCTGCTCTGGAGACCAGGCTAAGTAAGATTCTAAAGCTTGTGCCCTACATCAGCCTTCTGGCCGTATTTGTCTTTAATCTGCTTAGGGTTAGGGTTGAGGTACTTAGGTAGTGCCTGGTGCCCATACAGAGCTGGGCCTGGAGTCAGGAAGAGCTGAGTTCCAATCCAGCGTCTGACATTGACTAGCTGTGTAACCCTGGGCAAGTTACTTCACCTCTGTCTGCTTCAGTTTCCTCAGGTATAAAATGGTGATACTAATAGTACCCACCTCCCAGGGCTCTTGTGGGGATCAAATGAGGCAGTATTCATAAAGCACTTAGCTCAGTGCTGGGCAAACAGTAGGTGCTTAATCAATGCTTGTTTCCTTCCTCAGGGTGGGGAGAACTGGGGAAGGAGAACTTTGGGTCCTGAAGGAAGACAATGCGTTCCAGCTCTGACCTTTGCTGGTCCTGGGGCCATTGGCTGGGTGGTTACCAGGTCTGAATCCCAGCTTCTCTGTAACATGGGAATAATGAGATGGTGTTGACCTCAGCCGGGGTTTCATACGAGGAGATAGTCTGACAGCAAACACTTATTAAGCACTTACTGTGTGCCCGGCACCTTGCTAAGTGACGGGGATACCAAGAAAGAATGTGAAAGAAAAGTGGTCTGGGGCCTCATTCTGAGAGCGGGCAGACCCTGCGGACAGATGCTGGTGGCCCTCAGTGGGAGTGCCATTAACCCCTAAGTCTGCACACTCCATGCTTTAGCATTAGGCCTGGCACCACCGAGTCAGGACAAGAGGAACCTCATGTTTTCTTCCTTCCTCAGCAGGACGATGCTTCTGGGCCTCACCCTGCTGCTCCTGGCCAGGCTGACCCAGGCCTGCCCTGTGGGCTGTGACTGCTTCAATCGGGAGGTGGTGTGCACCGCCGAGGACATGGATGACATACCTCGGGACATCCCCAAGGATGCCACTGAGATCATCTTCGTGGAGACCTCAATGCTGACCCTGCAGCCCTGGGCCTTCAGCAACGCCAGCAGCTTGTCCAAGGTGGTCTTCCTCAACACCAAGATTCAGTCTTTGCAGGCAGAGGCCTTCGGCGGGCTGCCGGGGCTCACAGACCTGGAGATCACCGGCAGCCCCCTGGGGGGTCTTCGTGGGGAGGCCTTCAGGAACCTGACTAGACTCCGCAAACTCACGCTCAACTTCAACACTCTTAGAGCCCTGCCAGCCGACCTCTTCCAGGGCCTGGACACCTTGGAGTCCCTTCACTTGCAAGGGAACCAGCTGCAGACGCTGCCCCCGGCCATCTTCCAGCCCCTTGAGGCTTTGCGCCTCCTCAACCTTGCCCAGAACCTCCTGGGGCAGATCTCTGAGAAGCTCCTGGGTCCCCTGGCCAGCCTCCGGACCCTGAAGCTGAGCGACAACCTCCTGGCCACGCTCCCCCGTCTGGCCTTCTGGGGCCTGGGCAACCTGCAGGAGCTGTTTCTGGATGGCAACAGGCTCTCGGAGCTTCCCCAGGGCGTGTTCTTGGGGCTGGGGGCCCTGCAGAAGCTCTGGCTGCAGCATAACGCCATCGACCACCTCCCCCCCACCATCTTCTCTTCCCTGGGCAACCTGACGTTCCTGAACCTGCAAGGGAACATGCTCCGGGTGCTCCCCAGCGGCCTCTTCGAGCAGACGCCCAACCTGGTCAGGCTGTGCGTGTCCAACAACCGGCTGGAGAACGTCTCTGCGGGCACGTTCACAAACTCCCCCAAGCTCAGCGTCATCACCCTGTCGCACAACAGCCTCAGCAGCCTTCCGCCCGGGGTCTTCGACCGCGTGCCCAGGCTCACCAAGCTCTACCTGGGCAGCAACAACCTGACGGCCCTGGACAGGCAGCTCTTCCAGAACCTGACCCACCTGGAGCTGCTGAGCCTCGCCGACAATTCGCTGACCACCCTCCCCGACGGCATTTTTGACAATAACTTCGAGCTTTTCAACCTGGCCCTGCACGGCAACCCCTGGGCGTGTGACTGCCGCCTGGCTTACCTCCTAAACTGGCTCCGAGAGTACATCGACCGCTTCTTCAACCTTCAGACCTACTGCGCCAGCCCCCAGTACTTAAAGGGCCAGGTGCTGCCGGCGTTGCAGGAGGAGCAGCTGGTGTGCCCGGCGCCCCTGGAGCCCTACGGGGTCCGACGTTTTCTGGCGGAGAAGGAGGAGTCAGGCAGCAGCTGGGACTTGCCGGAGGAGGATCGATCCCCCACCAGATGCACCTACAGCAACCTGGACGGGACGGTGGTGCTTGCGTGCGACCAGGAGGTCTGTCGATGGCTCCGCGTGCAGCTCTCTCCCAGGCAGACCTCCTGCACCCCGGGCCTAACTTTCAACGCCACTCAGGAATGGGTCTTGAAATCAAGTTGCGGCTCAGTCCAAGTCACTGTCTCCATTAATGCCCTGGGTGGAGGGAGCTAGAGAGAGGCCAGAGACGGTCCCAGGCTGAAGCTCTGGAGAGCTCCTCCAGCCCAATGAGTGTTCCCTAAGAAACCAAGAAATAAAGGGTACTAGTGATGATTTCCCAAGGTAAAGTGTGCCATGCTTGGAGGGATCTCACTTGGACGCTGGGTCAGGCCAGTGACTGGTCCCCCCCCCCCCCCCCCCCCCCCAGGGGTTCTTTGTCCCTCTTCCTCCCTTTCTCCCCTTGGGGCTCTTCCTTGCAGGCCTTCTGAGCCTCACAGGGATGCACCGTCCTTGTGTTCTGAGCCATACCATTAATGCTGGCTCAGTGTCAGTGTCTGTGAGCCCATCCCCAAGCTTTCTTATGGTCATTTAGTAATTAAAGTCACAGCCCAGTGATGGGGATGTGATCTGAACCCTTTAAAGGAAAAGACCATGTCTTTGGGATCTGGACCCCAAAAACGAAAAGCCCCTGGACTTTTCCACGTGGCCCAGGTTGCCTGGGGCACCCAGCCCTTCCCAGTTAGTCATTGCCTTTTCATTGTGGCCCTCTTTGTCTGCACCCGGCCCCACCCTAGACCCCTTCCACAGGCCCTGGTCCCTGGAGTTTGCCTGGGGCACTTGGCCCTTCCGGATCCTTCTCTGTTACCTCCCAGGCACCCAAGCTATTGGCCACTCTCAGACCACATCCAGATCTCCCCACAGCCTCTGTGTAGAAGTGTCCATCTTGCCCTATTAGGTGGCTTAGACACCTCAAGAGCCTAGCTGGGTTGTAGTCCCATTACAAAGGCTCAGATTCTTAAAATCTGGTCAGTAGCTCAGATTTTTGGAATCTCACCCCCCCCCCCCCCACCGGTGTTCTAATAAACCTTGTCTTGGACTGAAAGAAGGCTTGGGTCGAATTCATTTGCGGCAGGACCCACATATGGCACACATTCAGGGTTCCAAAGCCCTTTTCCGGTGTTATCTCACTGGAGCCACCTTCACCTCACCCTTCCCAGGCCTCCTCAGGGAAGATCCATCTACTCTGTGCCCATGGGAGGTCAGAAATGAGGCTGGTGGTGGGTCGCCCCTTCCCGCTCAGGGAGAACCATCCCAGAGCTACCCCTGACAGTGCTGGGTCCTGGGGAGCAGCCCCTACTTTGGGGAATCGTCCTCTGCTCACTTTTTCCCATTTTTTTTAACAAAAAAGTATTTTATTAATTTATTCTGATTTATCAACAATCACTTTCATAAGCTTTTGAGTTTTAAATTTTTCTCCCCTCCTTTCCTGCCTCCCTTCCCCAGATGGCATGCGCTCTGATACAGCATTTTTTCCCATTTTGACATGACCCCATTCATACAAAACCCCTGCATTTGCATGGGACCCACATAGCTCTTAACAAGAGGGAGAGTGTGACCCATGCCCCTGAGATGCCACGTTGTCTCTGGAGCCTTCCCTGAGGCCACCAGGCTCCTCACTCTCCCACCCTGACTGTCCCATCTTCGAGCTGAGCTGGGTCCTCAGTGATTAAACTTCCCCCTATCTCACAGAGCCTCTTCAGGATGCTAGACTGCCAATCATGGGCTCAAATCCTGCCTGGATAATTGCTAACTGTGTAGTCATGGCACAGGCTCTCAGTTTCTCTTGGTCTCAGTTTCCTGACTGGTAAAATGGACATTAAAATGCTAGGTTTCCCTGCTTCACAAGCTTTGGGAGGGCCAAATGAGATAATACACATCATTTTCACTTGCAAATCTTGAAGAGCTACAGAGACACCAGTTTTTATTATTCTTTAACACGATAGCTCAGAAATTCTGGGACTTGGTGACAAGCTAAAGTGCCCAGAGCCTGGGCTAGGGAGTTAAGAGATGGGGCTTGGGTCCCCCCAGGAGCTGAGTGATCTTCTCTGAGCCTCTGTGTCTTCATTGTTGAAATGGGATGTAGGAGGTGCTGGCCCCCGAGATGGGCGATGAAGGGAGAGGGAGAGGACTGGAGTTGGGAGGTCACTGCCATAAGGCATTCCCTGAAGAGGAAATTCACTTTACCAATACAGGGCAGCCCCTTTCTGCTACTCACAGATTGCCTTTAGCACAGAGAGGTTAAAAGATGATTTGTCACATTGAGTTTGAGACCCCTCAGAAGGAGATGCTCAGCCCACCAGTGGGGTAGAGATGATGCTTGGATTCCTGGAGACAGAGGGCCTGGAGGGAGAAGAGAGCTCAGGACAGAGCCCTGAGGGGCCCCTATGGGAGGGGGTGATCCAGTTAGCAGCAGAAGGGGGTAGAGAGTGGGAGAAGAGAAAAGCCAGAGCAAAAGGGAATGTCTCCAGTGTCAGATGCTGCAGAGAATAAAACCCAAGAAACGATCAGGGGCATTAGATGGGAGGCCTTGGATGGTGCGGTCGGCTCAGAATTTGGAATTTGGGAGAAAAGAGGGGTGGGGGAGAAACCTTGGGTCTTGTTTGTGTGGCAAACAATGCTCCCTCTTTTCCCCCCTTAAATGCTTGGGTTTACAAGGTTGGAAAATATACTTTCTGTAATGTAAGGCCATGCCAAGGGCTCATGTTAGTTAAATAGATGAGTGAGAGAGAGAGACAGAGAGACAGAGAGACAGACAGAGACAGAGGGAGGAAGAGAGAGGGATAAAGAGACAGAGGAATTTGTTTTTTTATTCTTTAATAACGTTATTAAATCAACACAGCATGACAATGTCCACTGTGAGTCTCAGACCGATGAAACAACACAGGCTTGGTAACAAGCCTTACAGACATCCACCCAAGTACAGCCTCTTCCTCTCTCCCAGATGCTGCTCTGTTGAGTGGCTGTCCTCCAGCCCCATTCCTGTCTGGGAGGTTGACTGCAAGCCCCTACTCTGGAGGTGACCTGGGCGACGGCAGCCTCTGCCCGGCCAACCCCCCCCCCCCCCCCCCCGACAGGGCTCCGGCCGCCGCTGTCCTGTTGCTACCAGCTTTAATCCACGCTCTTCCCCACTTTGACTGAAAGTTTTCTGATTCTCGTTGCTCAACTTTTACTACTCAGCTTCCGCCGTGTCTTTTATCTCTTGATGAAAGAGAGACATCGGGTTTTTGGTCCCACGCTACAGGCAGGGAGAACCCACTGGTTAATCATTTGTCTCCTCTCCTCTTCCCTTCCTTCCTCTCCTCTTCCCTTCCTTCCTCTCCTCTTTTCTCCTCTTCCTTCTTCCTCTAACTTTTCTCCTTTTTCTCCTCCTCCTCCTCCTCCTTCTTCTCATCTTCCTTCTCATCGCCAACAAAAGTGTTTTGGGCCTCCCTCCTCCCATGCTAAAAAACAAGCAAAGCGACCAAAGGGGCCTAGTACTTTGAGGGAAGGGCACTACTTACAAGAAGGAAAAGGTTGCTATGAAGGAAGGAAACAAGTGTTTATCAGCACCAACCACGTTCCAGGCATTTTACAAATAGTATCTAATTTAATCTTCACAACAACCCTAGGTGTGATCATGACCCCCATTACCCAGTTGAGGCAAGGCATTCAGAGGTTAAATGACTAGGCCAGGGTCACACATTAAGTGTCTGAGCTTGGATTTGAACTCAAGTCTTCCTGACTTTAGGCTTCAGTCTTCTTTAACTTCCTTTAGAGAGGTGGCCCTGGTTTCCACTCATCCCCTACGTCCTAAGGAATACTCAGGCCCTTCTGTCTCTCCTTAGATCTTCTCCTTCCATCGGCATCTCCCTACTTCTCCCCTTGCCCTTGCCTGAAGGATCTGTTGGGTCTACTTTACAGTCTTGGGAGACTTGATAGCTGCTCCGGAGGACTTCTGTCTCCAAAGTCCACCTCGGCACCCCCAGTTCCATTTTATTCGTTGGGGTGTTTGAAAGGGGCAGCAGCTTCTGACCACCACCTTGTGGCCCTACCAGGGAACGCATCCAATAAGTTAAGAACAGGACACAGAGGCCCAGGAGAGTGGCCCTTAACGGCCATTCTAGTTCACTGCCCTCATTTATAGATGAAGGAAAGGGGCCCTGGAGCAGGGAAAGGAGATGGACAGCTGATGGGCAGTGGGGGATGGGGGCCCAAGGGGGTCTTGATCTCGACTCCTAGAACTTCTCTTTCCACACTGCCACCCTGGGGAAAATGGAGCATCCTTCTTCCTCCTTGTCTGCCTCCTCTTTTTCCTCCAACTCTTCTTTTTCTCATCCTCCTCTTCCTCTTCTCTCTCCTCCTTCCCCCCTCCTCCTTGCTTTCCCTTCCTCTTCCTCTTTTTAGTCTTTCTCCCTCTAACTCTTCTTTTTTTCTCCTCCTTCTCTTTCCTCTCCTCTTCCCTTCCTTCCTCTCCTCTTTCCTCCTCTTCCTTCTTCCTCTAACTTTTCTCCTTTTTCTCCTCCTCCTCCTCCTCCTCCTTTCTTTCCTCTCCTCTTGCCATATTTTAAAATCTCAGTTATTTCAGGCACTACCTTAAGTCAGGTCCAGGAGGCTAGAGGTGTGTGGGCAGTAGCTGGGTGTTTGGGTGGCAGGTAGCTCACCTGTCCAATGTGCAGGCAGTGAACATTAGTAACCTGATGTCTTCAGAAGCTCAGCATGGCCTGGTCTCCAGGGAATTTGATGGTGCTGTCAGTCTTATATAAAAGAAGACCCATTACAGGAAGGGACAGAGAAAAAACAGTTGGATTGTTTTCTTACGTGAGTGATTTTGTGTTTATTTTTGTCATTTCACCTTCCCGTGTCCCCTCTCCTCTACACCCCTCAATATTAGAACCCCTCCTCCACATGTCCCACCTGCTTTAGTAAGGCTTTGGGAAGGGGTGAGATTTCCAAGGCCTATTAAAGAGTGAGAGATGATGACTGTAGCAGAACAATAGCTTTCATTTCTAGTTTTAAGGTTTACAAATTACTCTTCTCCTTATACTCCCAATTATTATTAATGTGTTTTAAAGATGAGGACACTGGATCTCAGGAGCTGAAGGCATTAGCCTGAGGTCTCAGTGGCAGAGCCAGGACTCAAACCCAGATGGATCAGCCACTTTTGATTGGGAGGAGGGTGTGGAGAGGGGGCAGCAGCCTGAACTCCAGCCCCCCAGTGGGGTGGGCTGTCCTGAAGCTGAGAGGATGTTTCCTAAAATCTCAAGATGGGGACAGAGTCCGGCTTCCTTTTGAACTGCTGTCCTGGCTTTCATAAGGTCAGGCTCTGATCCTGGGGCAGTTAGCGTCCCTAGCACAGTGCTCCGGTGCCAGGTGGCCTGGGCCAAGGGATGCAGGGTTGTTCTTTTCTCCATACTAGGATGCTAGCCAGCTGTAGGAATTTCTTCTCACCCACAGGACAATGCCGCTGGCTTCAATGGTCCTTCCTGGCCTCCTGTGGCTACAAGGCTTCAAGCTGGCCTCCCCGAGTAGCAGCCCTGGAGCCCATGAGGCAGTCTTTGTCAAGGAAGACATGCGGGAAATCCTGGCATCGGTGGGCCCGGCCATCACAGAGCTCTACTTCACCAACACTGGCATCTCTCGAATCCCAAAGGGAGCTTTCAGGAACATGCAGGGCCTGATGAACATAGAGTTTCTGCAGAATAGGATTGAGACGGTGGAGGTGGGCGCCTTCGATCACCTGACCGAGCTGCGGCAACTGGAGATTTCCAGCGCTCCCACCTTCCGGGCCCTGCCCCTGGGGAGCTTGCTCCACCTGGGTAAACTGAGGAAGCTCAACCTTAAGAATAATTGCATTGAGCAGGTGTCCGCGTGCCTCTTCTCGGACCTGAGAAGCCTGGAAGAGCTGTTCCTGAATAACAACGCCATCAGGGCTCTCCCTCAGGGCCTCTTCAACGGGCTGCACCAGCTGAGGCTTTTGCACCTAGGCAGAAACCGACTCGAGGCGCTGCCAGGGCGCATGCTGCGCCCGCTGGGCCTCCTGCACGTCCTGCACCTCGGGGACAG